CAAAGGTATTTCTGAGCTGTATTCTATATATTACGCAGAATATATTATTATGGCCGTAGAGAACAAAAATAACAAATTGGATTGAACATATTTACAAGAGCTTTGTCTATATCTGAACCGATTTCCTCCAAATTCGACAAACTTATTTGTAGAAGCATCTAGTGTGCAAAACTCCAATCTGTTTGTGCCAAATTTCATCTATTTTGACTAATATTACACATTTAATGTACAATAAAATTCAAATTGAGTAAAGATATGAAAGATATAAAAACTGTATCTAAATTTTTACCAATTATCTCCAATATTAATAGGGTTCGTCCTAGGGTTAAACAAATAATTTGTGCAAGATTTAATTTCAATCGGGCTATAACTATAATATAATAAATAAAATAACTGTGATAATTCTCACAGAAACCAACATATGCGATGACGAAAATAAATTTTATGAAATAAACGGCTACAATTCTATATTTTTGAATAAAATAAATAGCAGTATACATAAAAGATACAGTCTCGTTTAAAACAATCAATACGAACACCCAATTTATGGAATCGCTTCAAGTTGAACTATCAATAAGTATTGACAAAATAATAACCATATTGGCATGATATCGGCCACCTAATTTAAATGTTAACAACTTTATTAAAGAATTGGATAATTGCATAAATAACATAAACAAAAGACAAGATATCATATTAACTGGTGATATGAACCTCGATATTATCTCAAATACCATGTCATCAAAGAATTATTTGGATATGTGCGCCTGTAATGGTCTTGAGTGTGCTGTAAGCGGTATTACTAGAGAATGTGAACGCCATGGAAGCAGAACGTGCATTGATCATCTGTTCATAAGGCATAATTCGAGAAACAATATTAAGTCAGCCATAATCTCCACTACTATCTCAGATCATTACTCAATATTTGGATCTATTGAAATGGACACAACTGTAAATCCACTAAATGTAATCTCCGAAAAACGCATTCTTAATAATAAAAAAGTAAACAATCTTATAAAAGAGGTAGATTGGTGCAGGATAGTTAGCGAAACTAATGGTACAAATGAACTTTTTAACAAAATATGCAATACTTTTAGTAAAATATATGAAAAATCAACTGATATTAAGAAAATTAAAACGAGAAATAGAAGTGGTCAACCATGGCTAACTAAAGAAATAATTAGTGATTGTAATACAAGAGATCGGTTGTACCGCAGAAGTAAAAATGCCGCAAATGAAAGGCTTTATAAAACGTTCAACAATCAACTAAATAAGAAAATCATTTTTGCAAATAACACTTTCTACCACAGTAAGTTTATCCAATGCAGAAGTAATATTCGCGAAAATGGGCAACAATTAATAAAATTATTGGTAAAAAATGCAAAAGTATAGACGAAACGGTGAAACTAAATTTTACAAATCGGAATATTGTTGAAGTCGCAGAAACTTTCGCACAAAAATTTAAAACGAATGTTGAAAAGATAATACATTCATGCGAAAAGGAAACTATGGAAAATATCCAAAACAACTTTCCAAATTCAATTTTTCTTGAAGGCACAAATGTTGTAGAAGTCAAAATTATTTTGAAAAGCTTAAACACCAGGAAAAGCGCAGGTATAGATGACATTCGTGCAATTGATATCAAAAACAACGCTGAATTAATTTCTCCAATCCTGACAGAGCTTATAAATAGAAGCTTAAACGAGTCAATTATTCCCGATCTGCTAAAAATATCTATTATTCGCCCAATTCATAAGAGTGGTAATAAATCTAACTGCGAAAACTACAGACCTATATCTATTCTACCAGCCATCGAAAAAGTGTTAGAAGAAATTATTGTTAGAAGACTGAATAATTTCCTAGCAAAATACAGTTTGATGAACAATAACCAATATGGATTCCAAAAAGGAAAGAACATTAATCAACTCCTGGAAAACTTCACAAACACAATATATCAAAACTTATCTGAACAAAAACAATGCCTAATAATGTTTATCGATTTCAGCAAAGCGTTTGATAACCTGTCACATCCAAAACTTTTAAATGTACTAGAAAAACATGGAATAAGAGGACATTGTTTAAAATGGTTTGAACAATACCTAAATTGTCGAAAATTTAAAGTTAAAATTGACAATGTTACAAGCCAAGAATACCAGTCAGATTACGGAGTGCCTCAGGGTTCTAAACTTGGACCCATTTTATTTATAATATATGCCAATGATATGATAAAAACTTTAAATGACAGCATTACTTTTTCATATGCAGACGACACGGCCATAATCGTTTCAGACAAATCTATACGTTCAGCCGAAATCCGAATGCAAAACGAAATGAATAAGCTGCTAAGATGGTGTCATGACAATGGGCTGGTTATAAACGCTAAAAAAACTAAAATCATCCATTTTCGACCGAAACACATTCCCCACACAGAAGAATTTACGAATGTCTTTTTTTTTTTTTTTATTTTATTATTTATCTTAAGTCTATAGATTACAAATCCTTACAGACTAAATTAAAAACTAAATTGCTATATACAATTGAGAATTTTTTTTTTATTTTTATAATAGAGAAAAAATTTAGAGGTTTAAAAACTATACTCTGTTTAAGTGCAAAGTCAATTTCCGTTTTAAAGATTCGCGACTCTCTGCTAGATCAATTAAATTATAAAATTTATTAAATTCAAGGAAAAGACGACGTAAAGGATCATTATTGGCATAGTTAGTAGTATAATAATTTATATGAAGCAATTGATAGTTTCGCGTAGGTCTATACGGTACGTTTATGTGCAGTTTATCTAGAATAACATCTGACAATATCTTCCCATGAATAACCATTAATAAAAAAGTTACATTTAGCATAGTACGGCGGCTTTTCAATGTAGGTAACTTTATAAGGTTTAACCTATGTTCGTAACTTGGCAATGTTTGTTGGGTCCAACTATGACCACGAAGACAAAATAATAAAAATTGCTTTTGAACGGATTCTAATAAATTAGAATAAATGACATATCCTGGATCCCATATTACAGACCCATACTCTAAGATGCAGCGCACAAAAGAAAGTTGTTTACAAACTAATGGATCCAAGAATTCTTTACTCCATCTTTTTATAAAGCCCAAACTTTTATATGCTTTATTTATAGTCAATGAAATATGCTCTCGGAAGTCAAGTCTATGATCCAAAAGGATTCCAAGATCATTCATACATGTTACAGAGTCGATTAGACAATTATTAAAATAGTAACTCGACGTGATTTTCTTAACTCTAAAAAATGACATATGTTTGCATTTTTTAATGTTTAATTCTAAAAGGTTATCTATACACCACTGGTAAAAGTTGTTGAGATCAGACTGTAAAAGCTGTTGATTCGATTCAGCATTAAATGGAAGAAATATTTTTACATCATCCGCATACATTAAGACTTTAGAGTGGCATATTACGTTAGGTAAGTCGTTTATAAATAGTGTAAAAAGAACAGGTCCAAGATGGCTTCCTTGTGGCACACCCGAACTTACATTAATTTTATTGGAAATTATGTTGCCATATTTCACTCTTTGTGATCTTCCTGTTAAATAAGATTTTATCCAATCTAATAATGAGGCACTAAAACCCATGCTATGCAACTTAAATAACAATAACTTATGGTTTACTTTATCGAATGCCTTACTGAAATCAGTATAAACACAGTCTGTTTGGCATTTCATTCTAAATCCTTCATTTGCAACAGTAGTAAGTTCCAAAATGTTTGTGACTGTTGAGCGATGCTTTCTAAAACCATGCTGAAATTTTGATATAATAGACGATACTTGAAATGATATTATATCTGTAACTAACTTTTCAAAAAGTTTTGGTATGGCATTAAGCTTTGCAATACCTCTGTAATTTGTGACATCAATTCTACTACCTGATTTAAACAAGGGCACAATATAGGATTCTTTCCACAATTCAGGAAAATAACTAGAACCTAACGATTTATTAAACAACATACAGAGAGGCAATGCTAAATTTTCGGCACAATTTTTTAGTATACATGCTGGAATTCCATCAGGGCCGGGAACAGTCGTACTTTTGAGCACTTTTAAGTTATTTAACACAGTCTGTACATTGAAACTGGGAACATGAATTGATGAAAATTCTGAAACTAAGTAAGGGTATAGGAAATTATCGTTGTACGATTTCGTGGAATATGTAGTTTCAAAAAAAGATGCAAATATATTTGAGATTTCAATATCATCCTCTGCAATAATGTGACCAAATTTTAACGTTTTTGGAAATCCATTATGTCGGCGCTTATTGTTTACAAAACCGTAGAAGGATTTGGGATTTGAAAGCATTTCATTCTTCATTTTACTTATATAATTATTATAAAGCTGCTTATTTAAGACCATATATTGCGATCTTATGACAGAATAGCTCTTAAACTCTAAAAGTGAACCACTTCTCTTAAACTTTGCGTAGAGTTTATTCTTTTTATTCTTCAATTTAGATAAAACGGTGTATTCCACGGAGGACCAACATTCTTAAAAGCTGCGGTTTTTGGAACATTTTGAGATATAGATGATTCTAAGGTATGATAAAACACGGTTAACATTTCATCTAAAGAACTAAGTGAAAACAACGTAGGCCAATCTAATGAACTTAATTGTGAATTTAGGCGTACATAATTCGTCTTTGAGAAGCAATACGTGGATTTAGTTTGGTACGATTTCTTATGGTTGGTGGAAAGAGTGGATAATGGGATTTGGATGTTTAAAGTAGGGTGGTGCTTGTCTTCAGGTAGGGTTATGGGATTACAACGGGAAAGTAAAATATCTGAAGGATTATTGACAAATATAAGGTCAAGGGTTCTTCCAAATATGTTGCTAATTAAGGCGAATCTTTACAGCAACTATTTCAATATCCAGCGGTGTAGAGAAGAAAATTTCGACAGCAGGTAGTTGAGAAGAAACGGCGATAAGGACTCCACCGCCTCTACTTTTTAAACTATTAGTACGATCACATCTAAAAATCTGAAATTTGGAACATAAAATTTCTGCGTCGTAGATATTGCTTGAAAGCCAAGTTTCGGTAAACGCGATGACTTGATAATTCAGAATATAACTGTTTATAAATAAGGAAGATAATTTAGTGTTCAAACCTCTAACATTCTGATAAACTAGATTAAAATTATCAACAGTAGGTACAATATTTAGTTTTTTGATTGAGATGTTGGTAAATATACAATATCTGATTTAGGAACTTCTTTATAAATATATTCGTGTATAACGGCTTTTGCAGGCCAAAAAGATGGGTTAACTATTATTTCAAAAATATCCTCAGGAACAAGAATTTTAAACGAAGCTTTACTTCGTTTTTCCGCATATTTGAATTTAAAAACTTTTATTTCATCATCGATATTTATTTTGCTCTTTATAAATGATAAGACATCATCCTCAGACGTTGAAGCAGCAAACCTTGCAGCAAATACTGTACGTTTAGGCAAAACTACTCTTAGATTGGGCGGACTTGGAGTATTAGGAGTACTCATTATATATGGCGACTTTGGCGTGATTTGAGGGAGAAAAACTTTTTTGACACAGACGGAGTTAGTTCGGACGTAGGTATTGAAAGTGGTGCAGATTTTGATGTAGAAGGGTTTTTGGACGGTGTTAAATCAGTTACTATTGCACGATTCTGATTACAAATTGATGACGAAGCAGTTTTTGATGGTGTTTCTTGGATAGTAATCAGCGGAATTTTCTGCGTAATAATTTCATTCATTGGCTTATCTAATGTAACTTCAGTCGGTTTCTTTCGTTTTCGTAGAGAATCAGGCGGAGACTGCAGGAACTGATCTAAGTAGGTTGTTTGATCTAACATTTCCTTGTATTTTTCAAATCTATCAGCCAATGAGCGGAATTCAGTGCCTATATCCTGTAATTCGGTACGAGTTTTCTTGAAAAATTTGTAAAATTCGGCATCTAATACCCTACATTTGGTGCAGCACCAGCGTAGACCCTTATTTTCCCTTAAATTATCAGCGGTTCGTGGTGATAGTTGGATACACCTCACATGATAAGAATCCAGACATAGCCAACAGGATACCATTGGTTCATCGGAAACTAATTGTTTACAATTGATCATAGAACAATTCATTATTGTGATTTAGATTATAATTTTTAGCAAATACAACAACCGCTTAGTAATCGATGCAGCAAATTGATGTTGCTTATAGCAAATACAGCAACCAATTTAAACAGGTGGTGTTCTAAAAGCTTTTGAGCTTTTAATTAGTACACTTGCCAGGATGTAAACAATGTTAGTGAAATTGTAGTAACAACAACAACGAGATGACAGCAACGCAGTGTTAAATATGATGGATTGCAGCTAAAGCTTTTTTGACACTATGATGCTTGTACGAATCACACAGCAAAACGAAGAACAGGAGAAAAAGAAAAATGGTTATTCCTTTTATTTGTTTTGCAAAAAAACAATTATTTGCACCGAAAAACTGCCAATTTATGCACACAATTCGATAAGGAAACACTTGAAAGCTTAGTCGTTCCAATTATTTAGTTTATCAACGGCAATTATGACAAGAAATTTATCGTTTTTTGAGAGCGAGTTATAAACACGTCCGAACAGTAGGATTGCACACTACGGTCTTCATCACTATAAATACGATAATCTACAAAGCAATGAAATGTGCACCACAAAAATCGAATCAGTAGATGTTTTTAAATATCTTGGAATACTTCTGGACTGCAACATGAAATGGAAACCTCAAATAGATAACATTAGAGGCAAACTACGCAAGTCTTCATACGCTCTATATCATCTGAGTACAAGCGCCCCATATACAGTGCTAAGGCAAGCCTACTTTTCCCTTGTCGAATCTTATTTACGTCATGGAATATCAGCCTGGGGAAACGCCTCGAATTGCAGAACCCTTCAAGCAGCACAGAACAGTCTGCTTAAAATTCTTCTTAAAAGTTTACATCGCTCAAATAGGATCAACAACAGTCAAACGATGCTAATTCAGACACTACCTCAACAAATAACAATCGATCAGATCACAATGAAAATCTACACAAACGTCTGGGAGTACTGAACATAGAAAACTTATATAAGACAACAATACTGAATGAATTTTACGACAGCAGATAGATCACACTCAAAACACCAGAAGACGTGCTGAAGGAAGATTCAAGATACCATGCTTCAAAAACGATCGCTTAATGTAAGCGTCCCAACAACAATGAATTCAATACCAATATCTATACTAAATATAAGAAACAAGCCGAAAAGGAAAAAACTGATAAAACAGTTTCTTATAAATTCTTAATATTTTTTGATTATTCTTAATATTTTTTTGATTCTTATAATAATTTAAATTTTTTTAAACCATACTACAGCTGAACTTTAAATAGTTATTAAAATTTGTATATAGTCAAATTACATTTGTACAAGTTCCAATACCGTCGTATGGACTTGTTGTGGTTCAAATTCTACTGAGTAGATTTTGAGCCGAAATTTATTGTTGCACAAAGACGAACAACAATATTATTTAGCAACCTACAACAAACACAAAAGTATTCTGGCGATACTTACGTTTGTTGTCTGCACAAAAGAAAAAGCACTTTAATAAGTTTTACTTCAAAGTTAAAATGACTCTGTCGGTCAACTTTTTTATTTATGAAAATTCACAATTTTGTTTGATCTGGCGATCCACTTTTTTGAACTTCAAGAAGAAGAGTGCCAACCAAAACTCCTTGACGATGTAACCTCATCGATAGTTTTAATTATCGAGATCGATAAGGTCCATATCGATATCATCGTCTATGGGTTTGGGTCTATTCCCAACATGCCGGGCCCCTTGCACTGGTGCAACCGTTAAAGCTGTTGCTATTTTTTCGAGCACGCTCAGGAACCTGTCCATCATCTCTGGCTGCTGCAGTAAAGGTTTTTCTTCCCTTTTTCTTTCTCCGGGCTGTTGCTGTGGCTGTTGTGCGGCATGTTGATTTTGTTGTTTACTCTGTTTTTTGGTTGTTTTAACTCGCCGATATTTGTTGTTTGTTTGTGTTTTCTGCACACCAATCTGTTGTTTGTTCTGATTCTGCTTCCGCTTTTTTTGCTTTGGTGTAGTTTCAGTGACAGTGTGCGCGTGCCGTGTTTGCAGTTGAGCAAGAATTTGTTGTTGCTGTTGGGTTTGCTGCGCTCTTTGATTGGCATACGGGTGATACCTGGCAAACCCTATGCCACTCTTAATTAGACCTGCCACTACAGGACGATGCAGCATCGTATTGTGCCGACAACCACACATACGACATGTCCCTGGCCAGGAACAAAATCTCGCTACGTGGTTCCGTCCGAGGCAGTTCTTGCAGTATCTGCGGGCTAATACCACATTCTCTCTTTGCTCCACCGTCATCACTTGAAAAGCGGGACAGTTCCTCAGGTGATGAATACCGTAGCAAACCTGACAGACTTCACCTTGGCCAATATCCATTATTATGTAACTGCAAGAAATATATTGAAAGAAAAAATATCCAAGAGAAAAAAGGGTGCCATTAAAGGCATTGTCTGTTAGATATTTAACCATGATTGGGGCACGCATACACATATTTTACATTCTACTGACAACCACTGACTGGGAGTACACATAACTTCACAATAGGACGAGATACCTGTCGTAGTTTTTACATCAACTACTCTTACGTGTTGATCGTGCCCTTCATGCACTTTTACCACACGTCCCATTTTCCAGTCATTCGGAGGTAGCAGTTCATCTTTTACTAGTACCAAGTCATTCTCTTGAATATTTCGGTTAGGATATTGTCATTTGTATCTTTTATGGAGTTCCTGGATATATTCTGTTTTCCATCTCTTAGTAAAGGTATGATGTAGGGCTTTTATTTTTTCCCAACGATTTATTAACGATAAATCGTCAATAGGCATTTCCGGAGCGAATAATAATGGTCCACCTCTTAGGAAATGTGCTGGAGTTAAAGCCTCTAAATCTTCCGGATCCTCTGACAATGGTGTTAAAGGCCTAGAGTTTAATACACTCTCTATTCTCACTAAAACAGTGGCAAATTCCTCAAAATTAAACTTTCTTTCAGACATTACCTTTTTGAAATGTGTCTTAAAACTTTTAACTCCTGCTTCCCATAATCCGCCCATGTGTGGAGCGCTAGGTGGAATAAACTTCCACTCGAAGCCATTAACAATATACTTCTCTGAAATTTCTTTGGAGGATTTTTTTATAAATTCATGATATTCCCTCGAGAGAGTACGACTTGCACCCACAAAATTGGTTCCATTATCTGACATTAAACATCTAGGCAAACCTCTTCTACCTATGAATCGTGTAAATGTTGCAAGAAACGCTTCTGTGGATAGTGACGAACACGCTTCAAGATGTATGGCTTTTGTTGAAAAACATACAAATATACATACATACGACTTTTGGTACGGTGAATTTCTCAAATTGCCACTTTTAATTTGAAATGGACCTGCAAAGTCTGTTCCAACATAGGTAAAGGGAAGTGAAAAAGAAGTTCTCTCTAAAGGCAATGCAGCCATTATCTGTGATTTAACATTCTGTTTCTATCTTGCACAAATTACACAATTATGCACTACTTTTTTAACGGTTCTTCTTAGTCTAGGGATGTAAAATTGGCGTTGAACCATGGACATCATAAGTCTTACATCAACATGCATTAATGTTTTGTGGATAAATTCCAAGAATATATTACATAAATGAGACGAACTTGGCATTATTACTGGAAATCGTTCGTCATTAGAAACATTTGCATTAGCTAGACGTCCATTAACTCTCATTACCCCATTCTCATCCAAAAATGGATTCAAAGCACGTAACGAACTTTTTCGTGATATAATTTTCGAATTAATTAAATCATTATATTCTTGGGGATAATGAACCCTTTGCGCCATTCGGGCTAGAACCATCTTAGCGTGATTCAACTCATCTTGAGATAGAAGTTTTCCACTTCCTCCATCTGAATATTCATTTTTTCTTCGCTTATTCTTCATACGATACATATATCCTATAATCCACAATGTTCTGTTATAAGAAGAAAATTTTTGAATCATTTCTTTATAATCATCTTTCTCTATAATTGGTGCTCAATGTACTTCAATATTTCGCTTTTCTGGCGGATCTTTCGATACCATATTAGATTCTGGCCAATTATTACCAGGACTTAATAACCACATTGGGCCATTCCACCATAGCGAACAGTTACTTAACTCTACAGAATTACAACCTCTTGTTCCAAGGTCTGCAGGATTACATTTCGAAGAAACATGTCTCCAAGTTTTCGATATTTTTGAATATAGTTGCGGTTCTATTTGCAACATAAGTATTCCATGTGGATGGATGTTTTTGCAACCATGCCAATACAATTGTTGAATCTGTCCACATGTGGACAGAATAATTTTTCACATCTAATTTGGAGACAACATACTTCATTAAAGATGAGAGCAATACGGCACCACAAAGCTCTAATCTTGGCAAGCTTACTCTTTTTAATGGAGCAACTTTACTTTTCGCTATTAACAAGTTTACTGATGACTTTGATTCTGTGTCCATTCGAACGTATACTGCGGCACAATACGCTTTCTCAGAAGCCATGAAATTGTATATTGCCCTCTAGGCAATAATTAATCCATCTTGGTATTTGAATAGAATCAACACTTGAAAATTGATCCAAAAATGTTTTCCATTTAGTATACGTGGATGAACTTACTCTTTCATCCCAATTAACACCTTCTAACCAAAGGTCTTGCAACAAAATTTTTGCCTGTATTATTAAAGGCGTTAACCACCCTGCTGGGTCAAATAATTTCGAAATGGTTGACAAGATTTTCCTTTTAGTTATCGGGGTAGTCACCTCTAGTGACTTCATACTATAAGAAAATGAGTCAGTTAAGGCATTCCAACGAATACCTAATGTCTTTGTTGAACTCATATCTTTAATTCTTAAAAATTCTTCATTTAACAAATCTTCTGATCGGACATTAGAAAGAAGGGTCGGATGATTTGCCGTTATCTTCTTTAACGGAAATCCAGCCGAATTCAAAACACAAATTAATTGTTTTTCCGCCTCCAAAGCTGAGACAAGAGTATGACCTCCAGTCAATACATCATCAACATATATCTCATTTTTAATTATTTTCCATGCAATTGGGCATTTATCTCTTGACTCTTCCGCCAATTGCAACAATGTGCGAATCGCCAAATAAGGTGCACAGTTTATACCAAAGGTAATAGTACACAATTCGTAATCTTTAATATCACTCTGACCTTCTATTCTAAATAAAATTCTCTGGTATTGCCGATCAGAATCATGAACACATATCTGTCGGTACATTTTCTCAATGTCACCGTTAAACACATACTTATACAGGCGCCAATTCAAAATTACAGACACTAAATCATTTTGTAATATTGGCCCTGTAT